TTAAGAGACCTTCCAACAGAGAAAGGAAAAAAGGTCACATATGACAGGTGTCAGTGTTGAAATATCCATTGCTGAAAATATTATACATGTATGTTTTATTTATGTACATCATGTACTGTATATTCTTCTTCTCAATATTAAGTATTGCCCAATTGTAAATGCTTTTATATTTTGTGGTACAATTGATATTCATATGCGGTAAAAAAATTTGTTTGATCCGCACAGGTATTGTTTTAATTTTCTTGAAATATTGAACATCTGAAAATATTAAGATTTTCTATACATAATAAAAAAGTTAAAAAGATTTTTTACTAATTATGTTTTAAACAAAATTTGATAACCTATATAACTTTATATGTTCTGCACATTACTAAGAATAAAAACTATCAAGATTTTTGCTTGCATGTGGTAAAAAATAAAATTATATTTAAGACTAAAAATTTATTTAATCTTATTAACTTTTTTCATGAGGAGTTATAACTCCAATTGCTGGTTTGTCACCAGTTACTTCAATTTACACCTCATATGGGTGCTACCTAGCATGTGTTTACATAACCCGGCGGTGACACAATCCACTGAAATAAACATCTAGGATTTAATTAGTTATACATTATAAGTTAAACGGGAAACAGCCTTCCTGAACACGTTTATGCTGGGCAACAGAAGCTTCTGTTTGTGAGCATCGTTCATCTGACTCCTCATATGGCAGCCCTGTATTGCAGCAAACTAAATATGTCACTGCTTCTTTAAGTATGACAAATTTGAAGTACTCATGTCCCATTCTGAAAACAGAAAAATTCATATAGGGTTTCCAAAATAATAATATTAGGCCAAAATAAAAAATAACTTTCTTTCCCCTAATGCGACCGACCCAACTAAATCCCGCCGACTGAAAAGTTTTTTAAAGAAGATTATTCAAATACTTTTTTTTTAATGTTTATCAACTTTTATAAAATACAATTTCATCAAAATCCGTTCTTATCAGAAAATCAGAATGTATTTTCAAAGCTGCTGTCAGAAAAAAAAAAAAAAAATTTTACCTACCTACCTATCCAACTTCAGATTCTAGGGTTGGGTTAGGGGAAACAAAGATATTTTTAATGATGGCCTTATCATATACATGTACCGTATTCTGTCCTTTGCAGTATCAAAATATAAGTACATGCAAGGCAAACTCCTTGACATCTTTAATTTTTCTTAGGTCAGACAAATTAATATATCAGAACAGGACAGGACATCCACTGCATAAAGGTATAAGAAACAAGAGGCCCATGGGCCACATCACTCACCTGAGTTCTTTAGCTTGGAAAAAGCAGAAATCAGTTTTGTATTGAAAAGTTTAACTATACACTACTGGAGGAAGCTTCCATATTTCTTTGTCTAATCATGGCTACCCCGAAGTAGATTTTTCCAGAACTTTTCCCATACGATTGGGGCCTAGTCCTACCCCTAGGGATATGATCTGAACACACTTGAATCTATACTACCTGAAGATGCTTCTATATCATTTTGACTGATCATGGCCTTGCTGTTATTGTGAAGAAAATATTTATTGATATATCCTTTATATTCCTTTTTATAACTTTAATCCCCCTGTTGTGGCCCCTTTCTATTCCTGGGGGTCATAATTTGAACAAATATGAACATACAATACCCGAAGATGCTTCTATATTAATATGAATAATCTTGGCTTTGCTGTTCTTGAGACTAAGATTTTTCCTATGTATTCCTTAGTAAACCTTTGATTGCCCATTGTGGCCCATCCTACCCCTGGGGGTTATGATTTAATCAGACTTGATTCTATACTACTGGAGGATGTTTCCATAGATGTCACAATGTTTAACCCAATGGTTCTGGAGAAAAAGATTTTTAAAAGATTCCATTGATTTATCACTAATTCGTTATTATACATTGTATCCCCTTGGAAGAAGGTGTGGCCCTTAATTTGAACAAACTTGAATTCCCTTTACCATGTGACAAGTTTGGTTGAAATTGGCCCAGTGTTTCTTGAGAAGAGGTCGAAAATATGAGAAGTATACAGATAGACAGACACCGGACAAAATGGGATCCGAAAAGCTCACTTGAGCCTCAGGTACATGTAAGCTAAGATGGATATTCACACAAACTTACAAAGGAGAATCAATGAAGATCTTCTCCAGTTCCTCATTGTCTAAGTTTTTAAATGAAGAGTACCTCGAGAAAATAGATCTGAAAAAGAAAGTATTTGTCTTTCCTTGAAAGTTATAAAAGAAACAAAATATTATTGATAAATCATTATTTGAACAAATATGAATGAACATAACAATCGAGTACATGAACCTAACTATGTACATAATTCACTGGTTGAAAACCCAGGAGCAAAAGAGAAGATTTTCAAAGAATTAATGCACTGTCACTATATAATCATTAGAGCCCTGCCCTAACACTAGAACCCCTGATCCTGGGGTCATGAATTTCACAATTTCGGTAGAGGGTTCAATGCCTATTACAATCATGCCAACATTTTGACTGCTAAATGTCCAGCAGTAAAGACGATGTTTAAAGATTGCATTTATTAATCACATACCCTGGTAAAAATTTGTTGACACAAATCCTTTCTCCTAGAATCTGTTGAAGGTATTCGAAATCCTGCACAGTTAAATGAAATGAAAACTAATTACAGCAAATATCTCAGTGTTGAAGAAGAGATATACAATGAATTGTATTTATGACATGAAACCTTTGGCAGATTTTGAGAGTAATCAAAATTTAGGTACTGGTATATGTTTCTATAATGCAAACTGTTTGTCCTTTATCTGTAAATTAACACTTTGGCTGTAATTTTTTCCCCTTAAGTAATCAATTCTAATAATGTTTTGCTTCCGAAAAGCCTAAATGATGGCAAAAAATGAAGAGATACATCCATTAAAACAATTTTGTGTCATGGTGCAGTACTTCTGATTTTACCCATACTTTAAATCTGAAAGAAAAACCTGTCCTTCTTACCTCAGGTTCTATATATTTGGCCCCAAAGCAATACTTTAAATAATTGTCTGCATACATCTTTTCTGGGCTTCTTATGAATTCATGATGCCGTTTATGTTCAGCCTCATCACTGAAATAGCATGTTTTAAAAATGAGAAACCATGAATGGTATAGTTAATTTTAATAACTGAATACTGTTTAGGGCTGTGTCAATATATCGAATATTCAATACGTATCGATATTCTGGAATGTATCGTATCGAAAAAATAACTTCCAATACGTATCGGACAGGCAGTTTTCCTTTTAATTCTGTAAAAAACTTGGGAATTTCAGTTACCAAAGATTATTTTGAACTGTTTTAAATTGAAACTGGTCAATAATGAAATAAACATTAAGGAGAGAGCACATCTTAAATAACTATTACAAAATACATAGACAACTATATTTTAACATGTTATGTTAGACTCACACAGTTTTTATCAAATTTATGCATTAAATGTCATTAATAAGACATTTTTGAAAGACTTTATAAATAATCCAATATATCGCATATCGCTTTATAACATATCGTATCGTATCGAAATATTTTGCTCAATACACACCCCTAATACTGTTATGACACCTGTACGGGCTCAGGAATGAAGCAGTGTACAGGTTTAAAGAATATAAATTTGCTACAATTTACCATTTGCTTAAGCTGCAATTCATCATGTCTGCCAAGGTATTTACAATGCTGTTCACCTGCAATATATTATGAAGGACATAAATGTGCAATGAGCATCTGAAACTCTACCTATATTATAAATTTTATGCTGAATGTTCGGAGTACTTGATCAATACATGGGGTTCACAGCAAGTGTAACCAGTCTGCATGGGATGCTTGTACTCATCCTAAGCATGATCACACTTCTGGAAATTCCATGAGTGCATTTTTATGTCCTGTTCATAAATTTGTATAGTTTGCAGTTTTTACAAGGTAGATCACTATTCCTTATCTCCACCCTTTTCATAAAATGCAGACATTTTAAAAATACTCACATGTTTTGCAATGAAATCTGTATTAATTTCTGAAAAATTAATATAAAAGCATATCATCAACATAGCTTTTCAAAGGTTTTATTAACTGTCCTTAGAGACAGTTTATGTGCATGCTACCAACCAGATAAATTACTTTAAGCCTTTTGTTACACTCAGAACCTGGTTGCTTTTTTTTCTTTGGAATATGATAATTATGCAGATGAGTCTACAAGAAGAGAGGAACTATGACTTTTGGGTAAAAATTGTGATGTTATCACACTGTTGGTACTATTACGTCGAATTTTTTCCTACCAGAACGATTTGTTGAACTCTGTCTCGATGACGGATTGGTGTTGTCATAACCATCCTGCCTATGAATGACAGTATCCTCAGAATTTGTCTCCATAGTTTCACTGTAGATATGAAATGAAAGGGAAAAAAATGAAGGAAATAGGAAATCTGTCCAGAGTCTTTATAAATTCCCTACCAGAAGACAGAACAGCAGAAGTAGTTTGAACTTAAAAATTCTCCATCAATCATACAATTCTTTCTCTGGACATATGTCTACAAACTGGCACACAAACTTATTTAAGTGCTCCCTCTACCCACCACATCTCATACTTTGGTCGCCCGTGTGGCGCAGTTGTTAGAGCGTCTGCTCTAGAGTCGTGAAGGAAGGAGTTGATCCTTACGCCGCGGGTTCAAATCCCACTGTGAGATGTGGAGACCGGTCCTTCTGATGAGACTGTATAAACTGAGGTCTGTTTCGCAGTAGGTGCTGGCACAAAAAAGATCCCTCACTGCTCAATGGCCGTAAGTGCCTACTACAAAATTTGCAGCTCTCCACCGGCAAGTGGTGGCATCTCCATACGAGTGAAAAATTCTCGAGAGGGACGTTAAACAACATACAATCAATCAATCATCTCAAACTTTTGTTGGCTTGAAGGGGAAAGGTGGGTGGGTATTAAGAATAAAGCACATTTTTTATTCATTTAGTATGAGGTTAACCTACCTCTTTTCATCCTTGCCCTGGTCTTCTCTTTTCTCTTGTTCATATCTGGAAAGGAAGCAAAAAAAAAAAAAAAAAAAAATTTGAATATTAAATGTTGTACGACTTGTTAATAGATGATAATTTTGTGAAGTGAGATAAATAGAGGATATTCAAGGGTTGGTAGATGAATATGGAGTTTATTTCACGAGTGGGACAGAATTTTTTCATATTTTCACGAGT